TTGGCGCCGGCGATGGAGGCGGCGGCGACGCCGGAGACGGTGAGGGTGGCGGCGGCCTGGCTTGCGGGGGTGATGGGTGGCGGAGGCGAGTGCGTCTGCGGCGAGGGCGGCGGTGTCTATGGCTGCGGCGGGCTGGTCGGTGGCGGCGAGGGCGGTGGCGGCAAGGGTGTAGGCGGCGAGGGTGGAGGCGGCGAGGGTGGTGGCGGCGACGGGGGTGGCGGTGAGGGAGGCGGTGGCGAGGGTGGGGGCGGCGAGGGCGGCGGCGAGGGTGGAGGCGGAGACGGCGGCGGCGGCGAGGGCGGTGGCGGCGAGGGCGGCGGCGGCGAGGGTGGAGGCGGTGATGGAGGTGGAGAGGGCGGCGGCGGCGAGGGTGGCGGTGGCGAGGGCGGCGGTGGCAAGGGTGGCGGCGGTGGTGGCGAGGGAGGTGGCGAGGGTGGGGGCGGTGATGGAGGTGGTGGCGAGGGCGGCGGCGGCGAGGGTGGCGGTGGCGAGGGTGGCGGCGGCGATGGGGGTGGTGAGGGCGGCGGCGGCGAGGGCGGCGGCGATGGGGGCGACGAGGGCGGCGGCGGCGAGGGTGGCGGCGGCGAGGGCGGCGGCGGCGATGGTGGTGGCGAGGGCGGCGGCGGCGACGGAGGCGGCGGAGAAGGCGGTGGCGGCGAGGGCGGTGGCGAGGGTGGCGATGGGGCCAAGGGGGGAGGCGAGGGCGGGGGCGGCGAGGGAGGAGGCGAGGGTGGCGGAGAAGGGGGTGGCGGCGAGGGTGGCGGAGAGGGCGGAGGCGGCAGCGGCGGTGGCAGAGGTGGTGGCGACGGCGGCGGCGGCGATGGAGGAGGCGGCGGCGGCGGCGGCGGCGACGACGGCGGCGGCGGCGGCGGCGGAGGAGGAGGAGGCAGCACGTAGTCGCAACACTTGAGCATTTCGATGTCGGACAGGCTGTTGCCTGACCCGCGCCACATGCCCGTCATTAAAGGCACCCCCGAGACCCATATTGAGTGAAGGTGAGGGAGGAGTTCGCTAGGCAAGGGCGGTCATGCCTTGTCGCCGGGGCAGGTCCACCACCCTTCCGAATCGAACTGGCTCCACTCATCCCTGATCTCGCAGTTGATCAGCGAGCCACCGCCTTTGCAGCAGGACAGTCCCTCGATGCACAAAAGTTCCTCGCAATCGTTGCGTCTGAGGCCAACCATGTAGTGGTCGACTTGGCACTCAGCCCAGCCTTCGCTGTCGAAAGTGATTCCGATGTCTTTCTCTTGGCACGTCTCGTAAGGGTTGTTGACGTTGCAGCACTTGGCCTCTTCGAGGTTGAAGAGGCTGGTGCCTCCAGACCGGTACCTGGGAGGCGTCAGTGAGTCGGCTTGGGAAAATTGAGGCGTCAGTGAGTCGGCTTGGGAACGCTCGGGTGGAGTACCGGCCATCTACACAAGGCACATTCCCGTCATGGCGCAGCCTTGGTTGCAATTACTCCAGCCTGCGCGGTCAAAGGAATCCTGCCAGTCTCCACCGCAGACGCCGTGGCCGCACTCCCTGCCGTGGGCGAGCGAAGCCAGCAGCATGACGAGAAAGCGCGAGAGCATCGCGCCACACTCACCTGCGGGCGGAGTACGAGCAGCTCCTGTGGGGCAGTAGAGCGCCCAGAGCGAGATTTAAGGAGATGCGATGCATTCCTGCGCCAATGGGTGTTTGGGAGTCAAAGCACGTGGCGCGGGGCCTGTGGCAGGGAGGCTTGGGGCGGGCTCTCGCGGACCTGCACCGTCGCAGCGGTCAAGTGGGCGAGCGGTAAAGGTACGAGACGCGGCCGCTGCGGCGTGGGCATGACGGTTTGGTGCAGGCTTTGGTGAGAATAGGTGAGCGAGCAGGCGCGAGGTGGCGGTCGGCGAGTGCCACATGGCTGCGGCGTGCGGACGACCCGGTGATCGTAGAGCAGAGCGTGTCGGGTGCGCGGTGCGACCGCAGGCTGCGCGGCGCGGGTGGGCTGGGGGCGTGCCGGGGAGTCGGACCAGAGAGAAGTGCTCAAGCAATTCACGTGGCAGAGAGCCGCGCACCAACCAACTGGCAGAGAGCCGCGCAGATCAACCTTGTCCGGAACCGACAGCGTGACATCGTTACCGACGAAGAGGCCCCGACGGACGCCTTCTTTCTTTTTCAACTCTAGCACTCTCATTTTTCCAAAGCCCTCACAGGGCGCGGCCGCACCATGCTCACCGCCTTACCCGGCAGCAGCCCCTCCGATCGCCAGGCCGATTCCAGGGCCGTCAAACGTACGCGGCGACGCCGCGCCCGCCGGCCAAACGACCGCCTTCAGGGCCCTTCGAGATGCATCAGACAAGCAAATCGCGCAGCTGCTGTCCTTGCCCCTGGACAGCTGCGTTCTCTGGGTGCGCCTGCAACGCCGCTGTCGCCGCCTCGGGCGCGTGTGCAGTCACAGCACGCTGCCTCCGCGCCCGCGCCGCGGCGTCGTTGCCGTAGCACACGTTGCGCAGCGCCCAACAGCCCATTTTCTGCACATCCTCCACCTGCGGGTGAGCGCGCATCGCCGCCACCACCGCCTCGATCGCGCCCGCGTCTGCTGCGCGCTGCCTGCGTGCGCGCCCTGCGGCGTCGTCGCCGGAGCACACGTTGGCAAGTGCCCCGCAGCCGTCCTCCTGCACGCCCGCCATTTGCGGGTGAGCCTGCATCGCCGCCACCACCGCCTCGATCGCGCCCGCGGCTGCTGCGCGCTGCTTGCGTGCGAGCCCTGCGCCATCCATGCCGGAGCACACGTTGACCAGCGCCACACAGCCTTGCTGTTGCACCCCCGCCACCTGCGGGTGAGCCTGCATCGCCGCCACCACCGCCTCGATCGCGCCCGCCTCTGCTGCGCGCTGCTTGCGTGCGAGCCCTGCGCCGTCCATGCCGGAGCACACGTTGACCAGCGCCGCACAGCCTTGCTGTTGCACCCTCGCCACCTGCGGGTGAGCCCGCATCGCCGCCACCGCTGCCTCGATCGCGCCCGCGTCGGCTGCGCGCTGGTTGCGTGCGAACCCTGCGGCGTGGGTGCCGCAGCACACGTTGGTCAGCGCCCCACAGCCATGCTCCTGCAAGCCCGCCACCTGCGGGTGAGCCTGCATCGCCGCCACCACCGCCTCAATCGCGCCCGCGCCTGCTGCGCGCTGCTTGCGTGCGAGCCCTGCGCCATCCATGCCGGAGCACACGTTGACCAGCGCCACACAGCCTTGCTGTTGCACCTCCGCCACCTGCGGGTGAGCCTGCAGCGCCGCCGCAACCGCCTCGATCGCGCCCGCCTCTGTTGCGCGCTGCTTGCGTGCGAGCCCTGCGGCGTCGGTGCCGCAGCACACGTTGGCCAGCGCCGCGCAGCCTTGCTGTTGCACCCCCGCCACCTGCGGGTGAGCCTGCATCGCCGCCACTATTGCCTCGACTGCGTCCGCGCCGGCCGCAAGTTGCCTGTTCTGCACCTCAATGCACAGATTAGCCAAATGCATGCACGCCGCAACAGCGACGCGGCTGACCGACACGTGCACGCGCAGCGTCGCCGCCGCCGCCGCAACGGCCATCGCCTGCACCGCCGCATCGCTCGGCGGCGCGTCATGCGGCGCGGCGCCAACGCGCTGCCGCACCCGCCGCCCTCCCTCCTCGCCGCCCTCGCCCGCCTCTAGCGCCGCCACGCGCGACTGCAGCTGCGAGTTCTCCGCCCGCAGCTGTGAGTTATCCGCCCGCAGCTGTGAGTTATCGGCCCGCAGTTCCGCCACCTCGCTCTGTAGCGGCGCCATCATGCGCTGGCACACGGCGAAGGGGCACGTCGCCTCGTGCGCCGCCTTGTCTGCCAGCAGCCCCGACCACGCGCAGCCAGCCTCCGCCGCGGAACACGCTCGCGGCCGCTGCGGGCAGTCTTGCTCGTGGGCGGCGACTTCGCCGCGCGTCGTCGCCAGCCCGCAGTGCGAACACGCCGCCGGCAGCGCCGCGATCCGCTCCTCGTGGCTTCTGTTTCGGATGGCCTGGCTCAGCGGTCCGAGAGCCATGCGGCACTCGGGGCAGAGGCGCGGGGCTCGCAGGCTGGAGTCGCAGGAGGCGCAGAAGACGTGGCCCTCCCGGCACTGGTGCTGCTGCCCGTCCTGCACCTCAAGGCAGACGGGGCACTCCAGGCGCTGGGCGGCCATTCTGGACTCAGAAAAAAGAAAACGAAGCTTCATGCTCGTGCTTCGAGCGAAAACACCGGCGACGTGTGCTGTGCGACAGTTCCCGCGGCCGCACCATGCTCACCGCCTTACCCGGCAGCAGCCCCTCCGATCGCCAGGCCGATTCCAGGGCCGTCAAACGTACGCGGCGACGCGGCGCCCGCCGGCCAAACGACCACCTTTCAGGGCCCTTCGAGATGCATCAGACAAGCAAATCGCGCAGCTGCTGTCCTTGCCCCTGGACAGCTGCGTTCTCTGGGTGCGCCTGCAGCGCCGCTGTCGCCGCCTCGGGCGCGCGTGCAGTCACAGCACGCTGCCTCCGCGCCCGCGCCGCGGCGTCGGTGCCGGAGCACACGTTGCGCAGCGCCCAGCACCCCATGTCCTGCACCGCCTCCACCTGCGGGTGAGCCTGCAGTGCCGCCACCACCGCCTCGATCGCGCCCGCGTCGGCTGCGCGCTGCTTGCGTGCGAGCCCTGCGGCGTCGGTGCCGGAGCACACGTTGACCAGCGCCCAGCAGCCTTGCTGTTGCACCCTTGCCACCTGCGGGTGAGCCTGCAGCGCCGCCGCAACCGCCTCGATCGCACCCGCGTCTGCTGCGCTCTGGCTGCGTGCGCGCCCTGCGGCGTCGTCGCCGGAGCACACGTTGGCAAGTGCCCCGCAGCCGTCCTCCTGCACCCCCGCCACCTGCGGGTGAGCCTGCAACGCCGCCACCACCGCCTGGATCGCGCCCGCGGCTGCTGCGCGCTGCTTGCGTGCGCGCCCTGCGGCGTCGGTGCCGCAGCACACGATGCACAGCGCCCTGCAGCCTTGCTCCTGCACATCCTCCTCCTGCGGATGAGCACGCATCGCCGCCACTATCGCCTCAATCGCGCCCGCCTCCGCCGCAAGTTGCCTGTTCTGCACCTCAATGCACAGATTAGCCAAACGCATGCACGCCGCAACAGCGACGCGGCTGACCGACACGTGCACGCGCAGCGTCGCCACCGCCGCCGCAACGTCCATCGCCCGCACCGCCGCATTGCTCGGCGGCGCGTCATGCGGCGCGGCGCCAACGCGCTGCCGCACCCGCCGCCCTCCCTCCTCGCCGCCCTCGCCCGCCTCCAGCGCCGCCACGCGCGACTGCAGCTGCGAGTTCTCCGCCCGCAGCTGTGAGTTATCGGCCCGCAGTTCCGCCACCTCGCTTTGCAGCGGCGCCATCATGCGCTGGCACACCGCGAAGGGGCACGTCGCCTCGTGCGCCGCCTTGTCTGCCAGCAGCCCCGACCACGCGCAACCAGCCTCCGCCGCAGGACACGCTCGCGGCCGCTGCGGGCAGCCTTGCTCGTGGGCGGCGACTTCGCCGCGCGTCGTCGCCAGCCCGCAGTGCGAACACGCCGCCGGCAGCGCCGCGATCCGCTCCTCGTGGCTTCGGGATCGAATCGCCTGGCTCAGCGGTCCGAGAGCCATGCGGCACTCGGGGCAGAGGCGCGGGGCTCGCAGGCTGGAGTCGCAGGAGGCGCAGAAGACGTGGCCCTCCCGGCACTGGTGCTGCTGCCCGTCCTGCACCTCAAGGCAGACGGGGCACTCCAGGCGCTGGGCGGCCATTCTGGACTCAGAAAAAAGAAAGCCTGCTCCCTGCTCGTGCTTAAACACAGGCGACGTGTGCTGTGCGACAGTTCCCGCGGCCGCACCATGCTCACCGCCTTACCCGGCAGCAGCCCCTCCGATCGCCAGGCCGATTCCAGGGCCGTCGAACGTACGCGGCGACGCCGCGACGGCCAAGCGACCGCCTCGATGCTCCCGCTTGCAGCAGCTCAGTGCCGGCCGGCGATGCGGTACTGGCCCGCCGAGTGCTCGAGCTTGGCCTCCTCGACCGCGCAGATCTCTGAGCCGCGCAGATCAACCTTGTCCGGAACCGACAGCGTGACTAGTTTATCTCGGCTTCTCCACATGACCCAAGCATCTGCACCGTGAGGTGTGATACATTGGGGCGTAAAGGGTCAGTCTGGAGTCGCGTGCCTCCACAACGGAAGAGCTACGCAGTACCTGACATCCCCTGGGGTCTTGCCACTAAAGGCGGAGGGTTGGGACTCAAACAGCTTGGACGAACTGCAGGTCCGGAGGTAACCTCAACGTCCTGCAGCCGGCCGCGGCGCCGTAAGCGGATCGCACCTCAGACCAAGAAGAGAGGGGGAGAGGTAAGATGGGCCGACGACAGGACCCATTACGCGAGCAGAGGCTCGAGCTGACATCGCCGTGAGAGCCACGGTGGATCCCATGCTAGCGTGAGAGCTTAGCATGCCACCAAGGAGAGGGTGGGTGGGAACCAAAGAGAGATGGCGCAGCCGGAGGGCTGGCGCCGTCAGAGAGGATGGAGCGGCCACAGAGGTGGCGCGGCATCAGGTCCCATGAGCAGGGAGAGAGCGCAGCGAGAGCGCCGCCCATGAGGAGCAAGGGCCAAGCGCGCTCGCGATGTGCTTATCACAGTAGCCCGAGGGAGGGGGGGGGGCGGGCCTCACCCGGGACTCACCCCGAGACCCCACCCCGGGACGCGCCGGCTGCGGGTGAGGCCCCACCCCCGGGTTGGCCTGTCCGAGGGTTTCCGGCAACCCAGAGGGAAACCAGAGGGTCCCCAGCACTTTGCGTTTCCGGAAGTTTCCAGGGAAACCAGAGGGTGTTTGGTGCTCCATTCTGTTTCTCTCGAGTTTCCCTCGGGAAACTCGCGAGTTTCCCTGAGTCTGAGAGCTGGTCTGGGGCAAAATCTGGGGCAAAATTGAGGAAATCGGCACGATACCCAGGTATTTTCCAGGTATACCGGGGTTTTCCAGGTATACCCGCAAAATACCCGGTATTTTGCCGATTTTGGCCCCAAAACAGCCTCAGACACGGCTCAGAGCCCCCCCAAAATGACGAATTCCACGGAGTTTCCCCGGGGTTTCCCGACCGAGGAAA